GAGATGAAAAAACAATACTACGAAACAATAAAATAAGATACAATACAATACAATACAATACAATACAATACAATACAATACAATACAATACAATACAATACAATAGTGTATCCTGTTAAAAAAGGAAGAAGTGAAAAGGGCAATCTGAATTGTCCATCCATGATGCAAGTTCACTTTCTCTCTCTTCATCTAGCTTACCCAGTAACTGAAAATGGACATGTAGAATGCCCACAAGGATACAAGAAGCTGAATCAGAGTCACTGTCAAGGTAGGCACAAACCTCTTTGTAATCTTTTCATTTAGGTAAAGATAAAGATATCCTCAAGTTGAGCTCAACTGGTGGTAATTACACAGACTTAACCATGTGGTTCTCTTCTTGGCCGTGTTTTGGAAGTGTGTGTCCATTGCCTTCTTCCTCTTCTACTTCTCCTTCTTCCCTCGTGTATAGCCTTGGAGTTCCTCCCATATAAGTACTAACCCAAACTGATGCCACTTAGCTTTTCTTCCTTGGCAAGACTGGTCAAGTGCTGTGACCTGCTGAGGCTTTGCTCAGGTAACAATGAAGAATTTGTGCCAAGATTAGTGTTACTGTACTTATATATCTCTTCCACTGTAGTTTTCTTAGTTATAAGTATGGAAGTATCTACTGTAGTTAAATTAATGTCTTACAATTGATGTTTGACAACATTGAACCTTCTTGCCTTGATGTCAGTAGTCCCTGTATTCAGGCATGAAAGCTTGTCTAAGTTTACTGGTAATACAAATGCCACCTTCCAAGAGATGCAAATTTTTCTAACATTTTGACTGTGAAATATAATGATAAGCAAGTATCTCTGCTGTTTGACAAGTTGTAAGCAGGGTATGTTCTAAATATAGTTTCTGGTAAATATTTTAAATAAGGGTTGTTTTCTATAACCTAACATAGCTACAACAATTTTTTGTTTTGCATTTGTGTGTGTGTGTGTGTGTGTGTGTGTGTAAGAGTAGAAGGTGCTGAGAAGCTTGGAAACTGAATGTAAGTAGGTACACTCACAGAAATATATGTTATTTTGTTCAGGTATATACACTGTCATATATTTTAAAAGGACTTAAAACAGCTAAATCAACTGTTTATGATAACAATACTACTTTGTTATACTATAAAATTAATTATCAATACACAGAATGAATTATAACTATACAACAATCATCCTAATAATAGAAAAAAGTCTGGGGCAAAAATCTCAAAAATGGATTAGGATTTAACCAAACTCCTCAAAATCAAAACTACTGTATGAAAGTCTGCTGAACTCACTAATGCCCATTGGCATTGCCTCCAGAAAGTACTAGGTTTCTTAATGTGATCCCATCTTATTAAGATCATAAAATCTTCATCTCATCTCATGATTTATTAAATTTATATGCCATTAAGTCTTGTGACTCATGACAGTTTACAGCAATAAAAAACAAAAAGCAGTACAGAATGAAACCAGAATTAAATAATAACACAATTGTCAATTAAAATGAAAAATAAGGGCAACATCAAATCTCATAACCGCAGACACCTACCAATATTTGAACAGATGTCAATGTTGGCACCAGTCTAGCCTTTGGGGCAAGACTATTCCATAAGATAGGGACCAGTATGGAGAAACAACACCTCCAAGTGCCTGTGGATCTAAACTCAATTGCCCCAGCCATGAAAAGAGTATCAGATGTGTTCATTCCACCTGGAGAAGACAGTCCTGCAAGTCCCTAGAAGCCAAGCTATATAGGACTTTAAATGTCAAAACCAAAACTTTGAATTGTACCTGGAAATCTATTGGATGCTCACAATACAGGTGTCAGATGGCTGAAGTGGCTCTCACCTGCCAGCATGTAGACAGGTGTATTTTGCACCAAGTGCCTTTTCTGTGTAGCCTTTAAAGGGAGCCTCACATAGAATGCATTGCAGTAGTTTATCCTAGTGGTGAAGAGGGCATGAGTTACCATTGCCTTTATGTGGCCAGATCCAAATTAACAGCACCATTTGCTAATATTTTTCCACACGTTAATAAATTCAATGAAGTATCCAGTGTATTTTAATGCAAACGTAGGCAGCACCACGATAACAAGTGGGGATGAGGGTGTAAAGAATTCCACATGAATTCTATTGGGAGCATACTGGATTTGACAATACTGTGCTTGTTAGCGTCAAATAAATTCTAACTAGCTGATCAAAAATCCATTAAGAATTTGTCTGAACAGATGCATTGCTGAAAAATGATTGCAAGCTTTGGCAGTTATTTTTTAAAAGGTGCTTACACTGGGAAAATTTACATTAAAGCAGCCTCATTCAGAGGGAGGTATGTTTTAAAGAATGAAAGCAAAATAATTTACCTTTTTTTAAAAAAGCAAATTTATAGTTAATTAAAATGAAGAAGCAGACAACTTCATATCTCATAAAATGGTATGAATGAAAATGATTACAAACTTTCTGTGGGCAAAAGAACCCATGTGGACGGACTATTATTTGATAAATACAGACAGTAAAATAGATGGGATTTCATATTCTTTTTAGTGAGTGTATTTTATACAGTGTGAGTGAGGCAAGCATCACAATACTAAAGTGCTAGTGTAGAGGAAAGTGTGCTTTGCTGCACTTACATTTAATTTGCAGGAAGTTGTGGCCTAATTTATGCACAGCTGGCTATTTTAAGATTCAGAGATGCCCATCAACAGATTTGTTCAAACCCTTTTTTGCTTTTCTACTCTAAGTATATAAAGCCAGTATTTTGAAAACATAATCTAGAAATATGCCAGTCACAGTGTGGGCTGGTGCACAGTAACCAGATTCACACTGGCTAAGCATTGGGGCTGTGCAGGTTTCAAAAATGATTTGGAATAAATACTTTGGACCTCACTCAAGTGAGAGCACAGCATCTGGCTTCTTTCAGGCTTTCTGTGAGCCTGAATAAAGAAACATCTGCTTTATGGAATTAGCTAATTAAAGTTAATGGGACTTTTAAAATACAGGCAACCTTTTTTCCCCAGTCTTTTGTAGATCTAAGAAAAGACTTTAGCTTAATTCTCAGTCCGAAAAGCAAAAACGTATTTTCATTCCTAGATAAAATTATTGTGATTGGTCCAGTTATGACTGAAAGCATACTGAAGTAGTAGCTTCTGTCGCTGCTGACAAGGCAAACAACTGTTAGCCTAGGAAGTATTCTGAAGAAAAATAGATCTGAAGCAACTGGTAGACTAGGATTCCTCCAGCACAAATCTATATATTGTGCACACTTTACCTGTCTACAGCATCCATGTTGATTTGGTCTTTTTTAGCATTTGTTGCCACTGTTCTTTGTAACCATGGTTTTGAGCTAGTTTGACTAGTGAGTTGGTTTATTTCAGGATATGGAGATAATACGGCTTTGGTACAGGATCAGTTTAACTATGATGGTGCACACTTTAAGCAGCCTTCTCCAAATTGATGTTCTCCAAAAGTATTGGGATTACAACTCCCAGACTTCTCAACTAGCATGTCTTTTTCTATGGAATATATCAGTGACATGTGTTCTTACACTACACTTGTTCACATCTGCTTTCAGAACAAAGAAAGTCCTGTTATATGGGAAGGGAGCGATGACCACGGCCCAGCTCATCTAGACATGGAAATACTTTATCTTGGATTGTGGGTCTAGAATCAGCACATGCCATCCCTGGGTTAGGTAGTTTTGTCACTGTAATTGTAATCTCCATGTTTGTTTGCTTGTTTTTAAGTCCTTCTATTACCTGCAAGAGTGCAAACCTGTGGAATAATGTCCTTTAAAAATTAATTCTTCAGGTTTGTTTTACATTTCAGTATTTTTTACATTTAAAACCCTCTGATCTCCTGCCCATAAACCCATTTCTCCCACGTAATTAGCTTTTTGTTAGCCTTGACCACATGGGGTGAAAAGGATTTATTCACTTCTTTTATTCTTTGCCATTCAGTAGCATCTCACTCCTCCATGACTCAAAGAAGATACAGTTTTCCCTGCCTGACTCTCCGATAGGCAGGCAGGAAGTTCTCTTCCTGTACCCATCTTCAGCACTGATGGTCTTTGAAACGTTTCCCTCCAATAAGAACTATAATATTGCAAAATTGAGGCATACTGTATCAATAGTGAACTGAAGGCTCAAACATACAAAAGAATAATTGTAACAGAAGATTGGGTAAAAACAAAATTTTGAGAGACAAAAGCATTAGGAGAACAGATTGGGGATTGAACTGTATGCCTTGTATGTGATTCAGATGTTATATTGGCAGAATAAAGACCCATAGATTGGGCCAAATATAAACCAGGAATCAGTTCTGAATAATAAATATAAATAGTGCAGAGTCCAGTATAATATAAAGTTAAAATAAATATTAAAACGTTTCTCAGCAGCTACAGGGAACATTTACCACAACACATAGCAAATTTCCTATAACTCTAATAACCATGCATACTTGGTTGCATTATGCAAACATTATGCATACATGGTTGCATAACATGTAAGCTTCAGACTACAAATGCTAAAAAAATCCTACAGGATAATAGTTTGATTATAATTTAACTATATTATCCTATAGGATAATTATGTGATAATCTTTAGGAGAAATAAATTATGAAAATGATGCAACAGTCTTTGTTAGGATAACCTATGTTAAAGATGTGAAATCTTCAAGAAGAATGGGGAGATAGCTACAATCCATTGAGCATGATTGTATAAATGTGCCAATTTGCATGTTTGTATTAGTGCAATACAAGTTAATCTTCATTTACATCACACCAGTTAAACTAGGTAAAGTAGCATGGAGATGATGATGATGGTGATGTTGATGATGATGGTTGGTCACCCAGTCAGCCAGATGTTTAGACTCGATTTGGCATTTTTATCCACCTATCAAGTCCTTCCCAAGGACCTGGGATAGGTAGATGTTATTGTTTGATGGTGTTAAAGGCATCATTGCAGGATATAAGCTGTTCCAAGTAAAGCTGCCTTTTGCAATTGACTGATGGTGATTTTGTCAATGCCAATGGTGTTCAAGTGGTGCTCCAGAAGTTTTGGGATTGCATCTAGGGCTCCTATAACTATCAGTACGTCTTTGTTAGGATAACCTATGTTAAAGATGTGAAATCTTTTGCAATTGACTGATGGTGATTTTGTCAATGCCAATGGTGTTCAAGTGGTGCTCCAGAAGTTTTGGGATTGCATCTAGGGCTCCTATAACTATCAGTACTATCTTTGCTTTCTTTTGCCATAGTCGTTCTACTTCTATTTGCAGGTCTTTGTATCTTGTGATTTTCTCCAGTTCTTTCTTTTCTATTCTGCCGTCTCCAGGTATTGCAGTGTCCACTATCCAAACTTTTTTGTCTTTCTGATCAACC